GAGGGGCTCAAGAAGGGAACCGAGAACTGAAAAATCGAGCCCTCCGCCCCAGAAGGCGCCCAGGACCCCGAAAGAGGCCCCAAGAGACTCTCCAAGACACCCCCAAGACGCCCCAATAAGCTCCCGTGAGGCCCCAAGAGGACCAACAACGTCAGGCCCCAGGCCCCAAGAGGACCAACAAATACCGCCAAGAGCCCGCCGAAAGCCCCCTAAGAGACCGTCACGAGAGCTCAGGAGGCCCCCTGGAGGCCTCCCGAGTTCTCCAAGAGGTCTGAAAAGAGGCGCCAAGAGGCCCCAAACGGCCTCACCGAGGCTCCAAGAGGCCACGAACGCGCAAGCAAACGCTTGCGATGGCACAATACGGGCCGGCGAAGCGATTAAATAACAAAGCGATGGGGCAATCTAAATTGATTATCGTGCGGGGTCCAACCGTCGGAAAAATGCCCCCCGCGCCCCCTCCTTGACGGGTCTTTATAAGAACCTGATTGACGGCATCGTCAAGGTGTTGCAAACGGCCCTAATGGTGCCGATGCGAATGGACTTGACTTGACTTGGAAGGGGTGCAGTGGTCAGGGCGGAATTATTAAATCAAATCGAGCCCAGCTTCGGAATCTGCCTGACAAATGCAGCAGCCATCAGGCCTTGCTGCTCATGTTTTGTCAATCGAATGTTTCGCTGTTCTGTTTTTTCTTCACGCCCCACCCCTACCCTCCACCCCAAATCCCCAATCCCCTTGCGAGCGCGTGTTGCAACCTGCAACATGCACTGGCAACTCATAGCATGTCTGACACCACCCGAACGAAATGCACAGCTGTTGCTTGAATGCATTAATGCATACAGGAACTCAGACCATTTACGCCCAAGTCGTGTGTTCAACATGTTCTCGAGCACGCAGGCATGTCATCACCTTGTACGCTCTGAAACACGTGAAACCACAGAGTCCAGGCGCAAACGTTATGAGTTTTCTTTCGATTTCAAAGCTTGACGCCTTTCGTTATTGGAGACGTCGCAAATTATGCGTTCTCAGGGGATGCTTCAAGTCACCGCTCGTGCTCCTCCAACGGGAGTAAAGACAGCGTTTTGACAAACAGCCAGTGTACCCTTAATATTGCGCAGCTTTTCGTGCACCCCTGAGCCTACTTCCGACGACTGGGACGTGAACCTTCGTCTTTTGATGGTTTCTCCGGTACCCAAAAAGCTGCAAAAGATGATGGGAACACGGCCGAACCATCAGAATCGGGCTTGGGAGCACCCGAAACACACACAACACGCTGAGGGTGCATGGTTTTTTGCCAAAACGCTGGCTTTTCGCAAGCCCTGGTACCATATCATCGCCTCTACCAGAAGTTCTGTACCACCCGCCGCCCCTTGGTGCTGCCTGCAGAAAGGGCCATGCATTGCCGCAGTGCTGGCCCCCCCGGCGAGACCTCCCCCCCTCGCGGCGCACATCAGCGGAAAATCATGGAAGTTCAAGGAAACATCGAATAACAATCAAAACATGAAAATTTGTAAGTTTCGCAGCGCCAGCAGCATTCCCGCCCACAGCGGGGCGCGGCGATTCGCGCCGCCCCGCTGCTGGTGTTGTGATTTTGTAGTTTTCCCGCGGTTGTGAACTTGTTGTCTTTTTGTAAACTTTCGATGATATTCTCCAGGGCGGGGGGGGCGCTACATGGAGCGGCAGGGGGGGTCCTTGGGGTCAGCTTCTGGTGGTGCCTGACAGACGCGGCTCAAGGGCTCGAAAAATCAAGTTTCGATTCCGGATGCGTATTTGGGTGCCCGCCGCGGCCGCGACACCTAGGGTCACATTTGAAATTGTGTCTCGCGGCCGCGGCGGGCACCCAAACATGCATCCGGAATCGAATCTTTATCTTTCGAGCCATTGAGCCGTGTCTGCCAGGTGCCACCAGGAGCTGACCCCCCGGACACAACCAAGATCGTGGGTGGGTGGATGGGTGGGGCGGTGGGGGGAGCACACGGCGGTGTAATTACCCATGTGGCACCGCAGCACCCTGGGTGGGGTGGAAGTACTGGGTCCGAACGCCTGGCCAGAGGGCGCACTCCCTGCAGAGCTTTCGAGTTACCCAAACGGTGCTAGTCAGTGGATTGGCTTACTGGAGCATTTCAAGATAAGCACTCGCCGCACTAGCGGTTGAGGCCCCACGCGGGGCATATTGTTGTCGCCGGGCGATCGAGGAGCCCGCTCACCTTTTCGACGACGGCCCCCGACGGACGTGCTCGGTCGGCGTGTCGACCTTCTCCCGAAGGTTCCCGAATTCGTCTTGCCGGCCCTGCCGTGTGCGGGACCTTCGCGCTTGCATTTTGGAGACATTGCAAGTGGCTATTGATGATTCCTGGCATGCCGCACCCGCAGCGGGCATGAACGAATATTGTTCCGAGGCGTTAACTTCTCCAAGATGCACAACAATGCAAGCTCGATGCAGCTGGAGGGGCTACGTGGCCCGAACTCGGACCTAAACATTTCAAGTTGTTATCCCTCCCCCCCTCCCCCTTGCGCTGTAGGGGATCTTGCAAGATTGGCGGATGAAGACTTGAGAGCTCGATAAGGAAGAGGTGATGCAAATTTTCGAGCACTCGCGGCAAGAGCACCGTGCCTTCTTCAGGACAGATTTAGAGGTTGCACCAATGCCACCGACCCCCGGGTGAGAGAGGGTTGACGGTGCATGTGGGGGGGAGGGGAGGGGAGGGTATGGGGAGGGGAGAAAAGGCAGGGCGTCCCCCCAAGCGTGGGGGGGGTGGTCGACCAGAAAGAGGTGGCGAAATTCTGAACCGCACGGGTGAGGGCTCAAGCAGAGCAAGCACGGCGCGGCCTCCACATGGGTGCGATGCCGTATATCTTGCGCGAGTGCTCGGATATGTCATTCCAGCATCCATCGTTGGGCTTGTTGCGGTTGCTTGGCCATGTGGCACATCGGTTCGTTGGACATTTGCGGCCCTCCTTCGGATTGAGGGTCAAGATGAAGAAGTTGGGACACTACCGTTGGACCCAGTGGCATAGGCGGTAAGCGTTCTCACGGAGGGACAGGACCAGTGTCGGCGGTACACGAGAAGAAACCACAGGGAAAGCATGGTTTTGCGGTGGAGGCCGGAGGTTGTCGCGGTTGAGGCTGGCGGCCTTCACCGCAACAAATCCAAATCTGGAATGCCAGATGCCTTGTGGCACGGGCTGTCGTGCAGGAGATCCTTCTTTCTAGACGTAGCGCGTGTTCCCCCCCCCGCCGTTCCCCCCCCCCACGTAACGGTAACGCGGGGAAACTGGCTACAGGCGTGAACGCGCGCAGTTTTCCATGGGGGAGGTGGAGGAGGAGCAGCAGCAGCAGCAGCAGGAGCAGCAGCAGCAGCAGCAGCAGGAGGCGGAGGTGGAGGAGGAGGAGGATGAGGAGGAGGATGAGGAAGAGGAGGAGGGATGAGGAGCTGTGTAGGAGGTGACCAGGAGTAGGAGGAGGAGGAGGAGGAGGAGGAGGAGGAGGGGGAGGAGGAGGGGCAGGAGGAGGAGGAGGAGGTGCAGTAGGAGGGGAAGGAAGAGGAGGAGGTGGAGGAGGAGGAGGAGGAGGAAAAGGAGGGGGTGAAGGAGGGAGGAGGAGGAGGAGGAGGAGGAGGAGGAGGAGGAGGAGGAGGAGGAGGAGGAGGACGAAGACAACGACGAGCGACGCGGCCCGGAGGCCCGCAGACACGGGGGCCTAGTGGGGCACACCGTTTTTGCCGCTGCTGCTCCGGCAACGCGTGGTGTACAGAGACGTTGTGGTGCACGCAGGCATCGGGGTGCACGCAGGGCGAGCTCACACAGATAATGTGGTGCACGCAGACACGGTGGTGTACACAAGCGCTGCGGTGCACTTGGTTGCTTTTTGTACGCGGGCATTGCGGTGCACGCAAGCGCAATTGTGCACGCAGGCGATGTCGTGTACACAAGCGTCGTGTACTATTACCCACTACTACCTACTTCCACCGACCACGATCTTTTACTACCTAAGACTACCTACTAACTACCTAGGACGATTTACCATTACCTACTAGTACCCACTAGTTCCTACTACTAACTAGTGCTGCCCACTATTACCTAAAATGGCCTACTACTACTTACTCGTACTTCGTTGGCGCTGCGTACGATGATTTGTGCTGCTACTCTTTGTTCGCCACTATACTGCTAATACTATTACGATTTCTGTCACTACTACTACTACTACTACTACTTCTACTACTACTACTACTACTACTACTACTACTACTACTACTACTACTACTACTACTACTACTACTACTACTACTACTACCTACTACTACTACTACTACTACTACTACTACTACTACTACTACTCTTACGACTACGACTACGACTACTTCTACGATTACGGCTTTTATTATTACTACTGCTACTACGAATATTACCGTTACTCTGACGATTGTACTATTGATCTTGCTATTACTATTAGTTGTACTACCACTACCTTTTCTATTATTACAACCACTATTCGTATTACTACTAATAGTACTATTACTACTACTACTACTACCAGGATTTGTATTACTACTACACGTTTTGTGTCTACTACTACTACTACTACTACTACTACGACTACACTCATTCGTATTAGTAGTATGACTAGCTCTACTACGAGTAGTAGTCGTAGTAGTATTAGCAGTAGTCGTAGTAGTAGTCGAAGTAGTAGTAGTTGTTGTAGTAGTTGTAGTAGTAGTAGTAGTAGTTGTTGTAGTACTTCTACGGCTGCGACTACGACGACGACGATTACTACTATTACTATTAATACGACTACTACCAATTTTTGTTGTTACTACTACTCCTACTGCTACTACTGATGCTGCTACAACTACTATCATTACCAGTTCCACTACTACTATTACTAGTACTGCTACTTGCGTCAGTCCTACTAGTACTACTAGTACTGCTCACACTACAAGTATTACCAGTATTACCAGTACTACTAGGGTTACTACTGGTACTACTCGTACTTGTGCTAGTACTCGTACTCGCGTTGGTACCAGCACTCGCCGCGGCGGCCGCCGTTACCGCCACCTTCCCCCCTTCCGCCCCCCACGTAACACGCGTTACCCGCCCAGGAAAAAAGAACAGTCTCCAGAAAATGAGGTTGTCGCGGTCCAGACCGGCGGCCTGGACCGCGACATTGCATTGTCGCTGTGGGGGCCTCCGGCTTTTGCACGGGCGCAGACATCCGTCAGACAAGACGTTCTTGCAGTGCTTTTTTTTACCTGCCGACAGTGAGGACACCCTTCATTGCTTTCAATGCATTGCGCTTCTTCTTCACGGAATGCATCCTCGCTCCCGGCTTGTATTGCCGTGTATCATGCTTTCAATTCCGGAGAAAGGCAATTTCGTATTTCTCTAGTCGCTTCGGAATGCGTTCACCTTGTGTTGAGTTTGACCTCGCGATTCATGTGTCTTGCGTTGCATGTCAGCATGTCGATTGACTTCAGCGAAGGGTGTTGGCTCGTCTTCGGGATGGGCGTCAGTTCCGTGCTTTGGCTTCCGATCACATCTGGGCTCTTCCTCATGTTGGTTCCGCGCAGAGAGTGGTTGACGACATTGCTCATCGATATTTCCGCTGCGATTGCCTCCGTGGTAGTGCTCTACGGACGGGATGTGGCATTGAATGGGTATCTCACCATCGAGGATGACCTTGCGCGTATCTGCATGGGCATCGTTGTCCCAGCGACTTTACCCGAGGTCAGTCTTTATTGAGAGCTGTTTTTTTTTCTCGCGTTCTACACGCTCCAGTTCCGTTGCTTGCGGTTCGCGGCAGTGCTCATGGGAGGGCCGGCATGCTTCGGCTTGACTTCGGCTACCATTTTGCAGCTGGGTTCCACCAGTGTCGTTTCCGGCGTTTGCATCGAATTTGGCTCTCTGCTCGTGGAGTTCAGGTTCAAGTACTGCTTGTTGTCGGGGACGACGCCGCTCCAGAGCTTGCGAGATCGCTTGTATTGCCTCGGGCGTTGCTGCAGCCACCGAAAACCGGAAAGGATGAGCTTCGTTCGCCCAGGGTTCGACGACATCGTGTCTCTTGATCCAACCGTCCTAGGCGCACAGCAAGCCGGCAGCGGAGAGCCGGCTGGCGAGACTCACGGCGACGCGGGCCCATGCAGAGAGACATTGGACGACGATGGCCCCGAGAAGGATGGTTGCGAGCAGCAGCAACAGCAGCAGCAGCAGCATCAGCGTCGCCGCGATCTCTTGGCAGCGATTCTTTGTATTACAACATCGTCGGGGCCGTCGCCCAGGTAATCGTCGCAGGCTTTCTCATTGTTGCGAAGGTATAGCCGAACAAGTCATGGTCCGCACCCTTGCCTCCATCACAGATCCTCGCGCTTGTAGGGCTCCGACTGGCCTTTGAGGTTCTTGGCGACATGGCGATTACGGCAATGGCCCACTGTTGTCAACCGGAAGGTGCTCATGCTCTGGCGGAAACATGGATAGCTGACAAGGACTCACTAGCGTGTGTTTCTTGGCCCTGGTCTGGTCTGCGGACGCAATGATGCTCTACATGACTTTCCGCTGCCCAGTTCCTGTTCAACGGGGCACGGTCGATCCGTTCACAGTCGAGCTGCTTGTTGTGGGCTTGTGCCCGCATCGTTCGCACTTGCTACAGTTGTCCTGAATCCATGGCCTCTGTCGCACCGAAAGTTTGTCGCGCTCGTGCGTGTGTGTGTGTGTGTGTGTGCATGTGCTCGTGTCGGACAAGCTCCGCTTGCAATTGCTGAGCTTCATACAGCCGCATGCGCCACAGGTATCTTGCACATACGCGTGCTCAAGATCACAGCGTTGACTTTAGCCGTCCCTTGCTTAGGTTGTCGCTGTCGCACCGTAGGTTTACTAGCGCGCATAGATACTGTACTGGGGGACTGGGTCCCCGGCCCCTGGGGCGGCACCTTTTTCCCACACTTCCTCCCCCCTGGTACCCACTGTCCCTGGGGGTCCGGCACCCATTGGGAGCCCTCAGGTTTTTGATTGTTTCCCTACCTAGGCTCTGCCTAGAAGGGTTCTTACTCTCTTAGCTTAAAGGGGCCGGGCAGTGGAACACGCCCGGGGCGGTTCCCCCAGTCCCCTGGGAGCGGTTCCCCCCAGTCCCCTGGGAGCTTTAGCTTTAGCTTTAGCTTTAGCTTTAGCTTAGCTTTAGCTTAGCTGTAGCTTAGCTTTAGCTTAGCGTTTCGCTTAGCTTTTCGCTTAGCGTTTAGCTTAGCTTTAGCTTAGCTTTAGCTTAGCTTGAGCTTAGCTTGAGCTTAGCTGTAGCTTAGCTTAGCTTTAGCTTAGCTTTAGCTTAGCTTTAGCTTAGCTTTAGCTTAGCTTTAGCTTAGCTTTAGCTTAGATTTAGCTTAGCTTTAGCTTAGCTTTAGCGTAGCTTTAGCTTAGCTTTAGCTTAGATTTAGCTTATATTTAGCTTATGTTTAGCTTAGCTGTAGCTTAGCTTTAGCTTAGCTGTTGCTCAGCTTTATCTTAGCTTTAGCTTAGCTTTAGCTTAGCTTTAGCTTAGCTTTAGCTTAGCTTTAGCTTAGCTTTAGCTTAGTTTTAGCTTAGCTTTAGCTTAGCTTTAGCTTAGCTTTAGCTTGGTTGTGGCTTAGCTTTAGCTTAGCTTTAGCTTAGCTTTAGCTTAGCGTTACTGTCACTTCTAATGCTGCTTTCCTAGGGGTTCCAACTCCTAGGTAGGGTCGCACTGGGATAATTTTTGTTCCCAACCATCCTGTGGTGTTGGGTCCTCGTTTTGAAGAGACGGTGCCGCGCGTCTCCTCTCCTTTTCTCTCCTCTCCTCTCCTCTCCTCTCCTCTCCTCTCCTCTCCTCTCTCTCTCCTCTCCTCTCCTCTCCTCTCCTCTCCTCTCCTCTCCTCTTCTCCTCCTCCTCCCTCTTCCTCCTCCTCCTCCCTCCTCCTCCTCCCTCCTCCTCCTCCTCCTCCTCTTCCTCCTCCTCCTCCTCCTCCGCCTCCTCCTTCCTGCATTTCACCCACCCAGTACAGCGTTTCATGGCCCCATCGGAAGCTCCACCGACGGCCCCAGTGGCAGGGTTCGCATGACGGCCTCGGGCCATTTCGGCACATCCCTCAGGAGGATCGTGGCCCCATAGGGAGCTCCAGCGAATACCCCAGTGGCAGGGTTCGCATGGCGGCCTCGGGCTATTTCGGCACACCCCTCACGCGGATTGTGGCCCCATAGGGAGCTCCACCGAAGGCTTCCGTGGCAGGGTTCGCATGGCGGCCTCGGGCCATTTGGGCACATCCCTCACGAGGATCGTGGCCCCATTGGGAGCTCCACCGAAGGTCCCAGTGGCAGGGTTCGCATGGCGGCCTCGGGCCATTTCGGCACACCCCTCACGAGGATCGTGGCCCCATAGGGAGCTCCACCGAAGGCTCCAGTGGCAGGGTTCGCATGGCGGCCTCGGGCCATTTCGGCACACCCCTCACGAGGATCGTGGCCCATAGGGAGCTCCACCGAAGGCGCCAGTGGCAGGGTTCGCATGGCGGCCTCGGGCCATTTCGGCACACCCCTCACGAGGATCGTGGCCCCAAAGGAGCTCCACCGAAGGCTCACAGTGGCAGGGTTCGCATGGCGGCCTCGGGCCATTTCGGCACACCCCTCACGAGGATCGTGGCCCCATAGGGAGCTCCACCGAAGGCCCCAGTGGCAGGGTTCGCATGGCGGCCTCGGGCCCTTTCGGCACACACCTCACGAGGGTCTTGACCCCATAGGGAGCTCCACCGAAGGCTCCAGTGGCAGGGTTCGCATGGCGGCCTCGGGCCATTTCGGCACACCCCTCACGAGGATCTTGGCCCCATAGGGAACTCCACCGAAGGCGCCAGTGGCAGGGTTCGCATGGCGGCCTCGGGCCATTTCGGCATACCCCTCACGAGGATCGTGGCCCCATAGGGAGCTCCACCGAAGGCCCCAGTGGCAGGGTTCGCATGGCGGCCTCGGGCCATTTCGGCACACCCCTCACGAGGATCGTGGCCACATAGGGAGCTTCACTGAAGGCGCCAGTGGCAGGGTTCGCATGGCGGCCTCGGGCGGCACACCCCTCAGGAGGATCGTGGCCCTATAGGAGCTCCACCGAAGGCTCACAGTGGCAGGGTTCGCATGGCGGCCTCGGGGCATTTCGGCACACCCCTCACGAGGATCGTGGCTCCATAGGGAGCTCCACCGAAGGCCCCAGTGGCAGGGTTCGCATGGCGGCCCCGGGCCAGTGCGGCACACCCCTCACGAGGATCGTGGCCCCATAGTTGTGCTGCTTCAACAACCGCGCCTGGGTGTCGTACTCCGCCTTGTCGACGTGCAACGCCACCTCCTCCCTCATGGCTCTCAAAGCCCTCTCCTGCTTCTGCTCCTCGGTCAGAGGGACGCCGTCCTTGTCGTCGTCGGCGCCCGCGAAGACGGCCACGAACGTGTTCCTGAGCATGTCGGACTCCGGCGGGAAACCGTGGCCACATAAGGAGCGCGGGCGAAGATGGTATTCACAATTGCGGTATTCACAGTTGCATATGGTTGGGTCCTTCGTCAGGCTATTTTTTGTTTCAGAACCCGAAGGCACTCCCAAGACGGTCCAAGAAGGTTCCTAGACGGTCCAAGAGCATTCCACAGCGCCCGAGCTAGCTTCAAGGCAGCCCAAGAGGGCCTCAAGACGCCCCAAGAGGCCCTCAAGAGCATTCCCATGAGGCAGCAATCGTCCCATTCCTGTAGGAACACGTTCATTTTTAGCACATTCGCTTATTTCGTCTCGAGGGTGTCCAACACGGCCCGAATGCCCACAAGCTCGCCCAGAGACGTCCCGACGGGCTTTCAACAGAGCCCTTTAATGGCCCATGAGGGCCTTCAGACGGCCCAAGAGAGCCCCATGACGCCCGCAGAAGGACCCCAGATGGCCCCAAGAGCGCCGCAGAGGGCGCCCAAAAGGGCACAAGACATTCCCAAGGGAACGTCAAGGCGACCCAAGGCCCCTGAGATTGCCCCACAATGTCCCAAAAGAGCCTCAAGACAAGACGTCTCAAGATGGGCTCCACAGTGCCCCAGAGGAGCCCCAAGTGGTTTCAGGAACCTCCCGAGAACCCAACAACCATGAAAACTAACTAGGCCGAGGAGGTCTCCAGGAGGCCCCAAAAATGTTTCCATGACGCGCGGCGCTGGGTATACTTGTGCTTGCGTCTCGCTGCGTGCACATCGGAGCTGGTGCTCACTTCTGTCCTGCCTGCGCAGCCAGATGCTGCAAGCTCGTTCGACGGTCTCGCCTCTGTCCCGTCTCCTGGAGTCGCCGTCCCGTCGCCGCCATGTCACCGCTCGTCGGTTGGGCCGCTGTGCCGGCCTGCTGGCCACGTCCCCGCTGTCGCCGCGTCGTCGCCACCTCCACGCCGCCCACGCAGATTGCACCACACACGCGCAGAGTGCGCCACGTAGATTGCACCAACTACATTGCGCCACGTGGCTGGCACCACATGGGTTGCACCTCGTGCTCGTGCATTGAACCTCCGACAGTCCGCCACATGGATCCCACCACACGGAGTGCACCACATCCATAGCATTACATGGGTTGCACCGAGCACTTTTCGAGCCCACCCCGACCATGTTCACGCTTCCCTGTGTCGTCTTCTCACCCATGGCTGTGGTGATTTCTCGTGAGGACACTGTGTAGTCGCCCTGGGCCGCCCTGCGCTCTAGACGTTATATGAGGCGAACTTCGTTCATTCCAGGTGCTCTCTTCGACCAGCTTCGTCATCGCTTCCGGCCGTCCAGGTCCTCCCGGGACCGTCGTCAGGCTGTACCGCCGTCCTCTGGGGCAATTTCGCGAGTTCACTGTGGGCCCACTGCAACATGGCAAATCTCCTCGATTTCCTGAGGATTTCGACGGACGTCTGGCGTCTGGAGGAGACCTGCGGGGTCACGGATGCACAGCCGCGCTTGCTAGATTGTGACAGAAACCTGGCGATTGATTCTCAGCTGATTTCTCATGGTCTTCCATGCACGGGTCCCCGACGACGTCCGAGAGTCGAACCTCGACGGATGTCCTCCCCGTCGCCGCGGCCGTTCCCGGCGCCAGATGTTTCTGACTGCTGTGCAGGCCGCTCGCCCTCCATTTGTGAAGCTGTTGCCAATGTTTAAGCTTCAGGGTAATGAGTGGTGAGGAAGTCTTATGCGAAACGCCCGGCCAGCCCTTTCGACCAGCCTCGGGGCGTGACAGGGAGCCAGTCCCGCCACCGCGCTTGGGTTGCGGATCTGAAGCTCATTGGATGTTGGTTCGGATCTCGTGGGAGGCCACTCGGGGGCCTTTGAAAGGCAGTTTTGAGGCCTCTTGGGTGCCGTTTTGGGGCCTCTGGGAGCCTGACGTGCCGAGCTGGGCCGACGCCCATGCTACCGTCGCCTACCTACTTGATGACCAACCACAACAAGATGGAGGGCAAATGGGCCCGTCTGCACAGGGTACTTGGACCTCTGCCACCCTGGCAGCCACAGGCGCCCAAGGAAACTTGACCGCCTGGGCACCACCGTCAACGCCAGCAGCGCCAACTCCGACTCCGACTGCAACATTGTGGGGCAACCCCACAGAGCGGGGCGATAGTGGTGCCGACACTGATGCGGTGTCTTCCAACTTCGATATTGCATGCACGTGGGACGACCTTGCAGACCTACCTGGAGATCAGCATGCGCAAGAGTTGTTCTATCTGAAGCAGTATCACAAGTGGAGAGGGCGACGCTATATGCTTAAGCCAGCACGCCGCGTCAGGAGGTGCATGAAACGTACCCTGAAAGGCAAAGGAAAAGGAGGGCGTGGAGGACGACGTCGCCTGACCGGCAAGGGTATCCAGACGTGCGTCACGGCCCTGACCGACGACGCCTGCGAGGAACTCTTCTTCGGGGGCAGGGGCAAGGACCAGGGAAAGGGCTCCCGCGAGGGCACCCGATTTTCTGGCATGGGAAAAGGCCGCCGTCAAAATCCATGGGGAAAGACAGAACGGTCATGATGTGCTACAACTGCGGGTTGATTCAACGCCTGGCCCGCGAATGCGCACAACCAGCGGGTCAGGAACCATCTGCATCAGACACCCTCATCACAGGCACCGTATGGGCACTTGGGTTTACCAGAATACAACCTTCACGAGCAATTTTACTTTATAGAGGTCACGGAGGAATATCCGCCGGCCCCCTTGTGGGGCCACCAGCCTGTAGGCTGAGGGTTTGCGGTTCCCTGCGCCAGTTCCAGTTTCCAGTTTCCACTGTTACAGTCTTGCTTTCTGCTGCTTACTGTTCTTTGTTGTAGACCGCGCGAGGGGGGGGAGCCGAAAAGCACCCTGGTTATCACCTCGCAGGAGGGGTCTCAGAAATTCTTGGGGGCGGCGTGGGACACGCAAAAATACTTAAGATTCGCGCCCCCGAGGCCATAAACCTTCGTACGTTAGGCAATGCTTGCGTCCCCGAGGCAACAAACGCTCGTACATCACGCAATATTCGCGTCCCCGAAGCCATAAACCCTTGTACAGTATACAATATTCGTGTCTCCGAAGCCATACACCTGCGTAAATGACGCAATATTTGCGACCCCGAAGCCATAGACCTTCGTAACTTATGCAATAATCGCGTGCCCGAAGCCCTAAGCATTCGTAGCTTGCACAATACTCGCGTCTCCGAGGCCATAAACCAGTGTAATTTACATTATATTTGCGACCCTGAAGCCATACACCTTCGCAACTTACGCATTATTCGCGTAGCCGAAGCCATAAACCTTTGCAAATACGGTATATTCGTGTCTCTGAAGCCATCAGCCCTTGTACAATAATTTAATATTGCGCTATATTTGCGTCCCCGAAGCCATAAATAAACCTTTGTAGATTACGTTGTAAACTCGGCCAGGAAACTTTACACCATCGTAATTTACGGATGATTCGCGTCTCCGAATTCATGAACCTGGGGATTTGCTGCATTTCTGCAATTCGGCGGCACCCCTCTCGCAGATCAGCAGGGTCACATGAGATTTGCCACGTGTCCGAAATTATGTGGGAAACTTCAGTGTACAGCATACGGGGGCAGGTTCAAAATGCAACACTGAGTTCAACAATATCATCATAATTTCAATGTGTCTTGCCGATGCTGCTTCACGGCGGCGCCGAGGCTTCCTGATTTCGCTCTTGCATAGCCCATTATCCGAAAGAGGGGGCCGGCGGCAGGGGGCGAAACCCTTACGGATATGTATATATATACATAGATATATGTATATATGTCTATATGTCTATATGTATTTATGTATATGTATATGTATATGCATATGTATTTGTATATGTATATGTATATGTATATGTATATAATATGTACATGTATATGCATATGCATATGTATATGTATATGTATATGTATATGTATATGTATATGTATATGTATATGTATATGTATATGTATATGTATATGTATATGTATATGTAATTGTATATTATGTATCTGTTTATGTATATGTATATGTATATATATATATATATATGTATATATATATATATATATAAATGTATGTGTATATGTATATGTATATGTATATGTATATGTATATGTATATGTATGTGTATGTGTATATGTATATGTATATGTATATGTATATGTATATGTATATGTATATGTATATGGTTTTGTATATGTATGTATATATATATATATATATATATATGTATCGGAGTAGGCCGGGGGAGGGCCCAGAACTGCGACCACTGGTTCGCATGGGGGGCCGGGGGGGCCTTGAGGGTTCCAAAAGGGTTCAGACCGGGCCCCGGACCCCGGACCCCCCCAGAGGCTCCCAATCTGGCCCAAGAGGCGCCCAAAGCGCCCCAGGTTGTCTGGAAGGCGGCTGAAGAGCGCACTGAGATGGCCTCCGGACGGGCTGCGAGCGCTCGAAGACAGCCTAAGATTGCTCTTAGACAGCCACAAAGGCATTGTAGACGGTCCAAAAGGCCGCCGAGAAGGGGTTTCCAGGGGCAAAAAAGAATTTCTTATGGACGAACGCGTATTTCTTGTAAAATTGCTGTTCAGTCCTACCAGCGGCCGCGACGGCCCCAGAAGCTTCCAAAATGAGCCCTGGACGGCCCAAAGGGCCCCCAAGAGTGCCCCCAGACGGCCTGAAGAGAGCTTCAAGCAGCACAAGAGAGCTCCAACACGGCCCAAGAGAGTACCCAGGAACCCCGAGGGGGCCACCAGAGGATCCCTACATGGTCGGAGAGGGCCCCCCGAGGGCCCCAAGACGGGTTCAGGTCCCCATGACGGGCGAATAGGGACCCAGAGCGGCCGAACTGGGCTCCCAGAGGGTCCAAAAAAGGCTTACCAAGACTCCCTGAAGACCGTCCCGGAGGGCTTCTGGGTGCAACAAATTAGCATTTCCCACAGAAGAGCGTTCATTTCTATCATATTCGCTTCTTATGTTCCATCGGCGACCAGAATTAGCGGGGCTTGCTTATCGCGTTGCAATTTGCAGATCATTCTGCTCCATCGACCATTCTAGATGCGAGTCCAAATCGTCCCAGACAGGCCCGCCCCCCCCCCCATCTTCCGCAACAAATGCCCTGCGCGCACATTCGCTTATCGCAAATCATCAGTTTCCAATAACCCCTTGCAACACATGGACGAAGTGCGCGCGCGCGTGGTCGCGCGCGCATGGCGATATCCATCAAACGCTTCAGGTTTCGGAAGAATTTCGAAGTCGAGTGCCCTGAAAACATAACAACACAAGGTTTCGCAACAAGGTAAAACACTTGCGCTTGCGCTCTTGCAGATTCGTAAGAAGCCATTGGCTTTTCACTATTTTCATACTGTGCTACCAAGCGGGCCTTACGCGGGCGCATGTCGAAATCGCTCGAACACCCTTGTGCGCGCGTGCTGTCGCAAGAAATGTTCGAAACAACTGAAACGAAGTGCGCGCGCGCCGTCGCGCGCGTGCCAGAATCTTTTGATTACCATAGATTTCGTAGGGAATCTGATTCGAGGGTCCAGGGGCCATGTGCAAACGCATGGTATGGCAGCATCAGTTTTCAAAAAAGGCCTGCACTCGCGTTTTTGTTAATTTTTCAAGAACACCACAAGCGCTTCAAGATTTTCATTCAATTCGGCCAAACGGGCCTCTGGAGCCGCATGTCGACATCATTCGAACTCCCTTGCGCGCTTGCTGGGGGGGTGCACGATCCGTGTCAAATAATACCATGCGGGCCACTCGCGCGCCGGCCGCGCGCGCATTTCGGATTCCTTCCCAAACCTGCATCACCGACGCGAGAACGCCGTCATCGTCGTCGGCGTGATCAGCATCGGCGCCGTCGTGGGCCTTGCCGTCGTCGTTGTCACCATCGCCACCAGCTTCGCTGCTATCATCACCGTGTTTACCGTTGTCGACGTTGCCCTGATACCGCGCCCGCCCAAGTCGCCGACTCGCGGTCACCGCCACCGCGGCCCCGTCGGTCGCGCCAAACTAGCTGGCCGCTGCGCGCGCGAGCATGCGCGGGCTAGCGTGGCCGCAGAGATGCACCAGCCAACACCATGCACTCATCGCAATTGCCGGCGCATGGGTTTTGCAAACGAAATTGCGGGCGGGTGGGTGGGATGCTTGCCAGAGCAATGGACTTGTGACATTTTTTATGTTCGGCAGGGTGAGTTGCACATCGTAGATTGCACAACATGAGTCGCATCACATAAGTTGCATCATGTAGATTGCACAGCAAACATCGCACCACACTCATTGCTGAGCATCGCTTGTACAACATACCCCGCACCGCGTAGATCGCACCATATGGTTCGCACAACGTAGATCGCACATCATAGGTTGCGCATCATAAATGGCACACCGACGATCGCACCACAGAGCTTGCGTCGCAAAGAGACGCGCCACATTCATTGCACATTGTAAACTGTCCTGCGTATAATGGCCAACCTATATCGTAACACGCATATCATTAGAAACGCATAATTTGGGGTCCACGATCGCTCACATGTTGTTGTTCTTTTCGCCTCGCCGTATCTCATGGATCCCTGCTCCATGCTCCCAGCCCCCCTATTCGGTGCTGCTGCCTCCCTGCGCAAAGGGAATATGGGGGAGGGGGGGCTTCTCAGAAAAACCCTTGCTTCTCAGAAGGCGCGGGCCTTATCTTTAGACGTGAGGCCGGCGCTTTCTAAGAAGCAACCCCCTTCTAAGGAATTTTCCCTCCTTCTACCCCCCTGCGCGCGCCGCCCAACAAGGGAATCGAGGAGGGCCCCAGAACGCTGGACGCGTCGGGCGTGCTCGTGCGCAAACTTGCTCTTGCCTCTTCTGCGCTTTGGTGCGGCTGGCGAGAAGTGCGCAGCAAAAGGGGCGTCCGATGCTGTCGGGCAGCGCCAGGCGTCCATCGGCAACGACCCGGGATTCGCGTACCCCTTCTACGAGAAGCTTGCGGCCCACTACGCGAGCTCGCGGCACTTCGACCAGGCCGACCGCACGTTGCACACCCCAGTTCCCTCCCGTCTCCTGTGGGAGGGGGTGTTGGTGGGTGTGGGGTGAGGGGAGGAGGAGGAGGAGGAGGAGGAGGAGGAGGAGGAGGAGGAGGAGAAGGAGGAGGAGGAGGAGGAGATGGGGAGGAGGAGGAGGAAGAGGAGGAGGAGGAGGAGGAGCAAGAGGAGGGAAACGAGGAGGAAAGCGGAGAGGAGGAAAAGGAGGAGGAGGAAAAGGAGGAGAAGGAGGAGGAGGAGTGCAGTGAGGGCGCGCATCAAGAAACCATATGCTTTTCGTCAGGGTATCCTAGGTTTCTTCGCTCCTCGCGCTGCGCGGTGACCTCCCGCAGCAGTTGAAGGAGCTGCTGCGTTCAGGGTGCTCCAGGTTTCCCCTCAGGTGCACCTCGCGCACGGGTTCTCAGGGTTGGGTTTCTTGCGAGGGTTTCTTGCGGCCGCGCCCGCACTGTAGGAGGAGGAGGATGAGGCGTAGGAGAAGAAGGAGGAGGAGGAGAAAGGATGAGGAGGGATGAAGAGAGAGGGAGGGCGGGAGGAAGGGAGGGAGAGAGGGAGGGATGAGGGAGGAGGAGAAGGAGGAGGAGGAGGGGGAAGTGGGATGAGAGTGATGATTGTGATGGCGATGGTGATGATGACGATGAGGATGATGATTGTGATGATGATGATGACGGTGATGCTGATGATGGTAACGATGATGTTGTTGATGATGCTGATGCTGATGATGATGATGATGTATATTGGCATGATGATGCTGATGAGGCTGATGATGAGGACGATGATGCTGATTATGATGATGATGGTGATGGCGAGTATTATTACCTTATCATTGTTGTTATTCGGGTATGTCTGATTATTCGCATTATTGTCTGAAGCGTTTTCTTAGTATTGCGATCATTGTTATTACGATTGTTCTCATTGTTAATATGTTTGTTATCGGTATACTCATGGTTATGGTGATGATTCTTAATACTACTATTGTTATTGTTGGTATAAGCCACATTCTCATCTTCATTATCAGCATTATTAGTCTTACTATTGACATCTTTAGTGTGGTCCTGATGGTGAAGACGATGCAGGGAATTCTGATGCTGCTGATCTTGATATTGCGCGTTGAAGAGTTCAAGTTGGCCGGCTTGGCCAGAAACATACAGAAAGGTTGGGGCCTCATCCTGGGCCTTTCGGAGACTGTGCCCAACGGCGTCGATGTGGACCCGCCCGCGCCGGTGCGGCGATGCTTGGGTTGTGAGCTTAGACTCTCTGAGAGGTGGATTGTCTGGCAGGGCGAAGATCAGACTGCGTTAGATCCCCTGCCCCCGGAGGCAAAGAAGCCGAAAGATGCAGCGGCGGCCAACGCTGGTTTCTATAACCCCAGCTCGGCCATGGCCGCAGGAGCGACCCCACTTCGCAGCGACAGGTCATACCTTGCACAACCAGGCCAGCAAGTGTGGGTACGATCTGACGCCAATGCGAGACGCTGCAGGCCGTCCCTGCCATTGGCCTGATTGGGGATCAGTCATTCGACGCGTTACCATGGACTATGAGACATGGGAAAAACTAGAGGATTTAACGGATCCCCAAGAGGCCAGCAGGGAGAGGATTTATGCCGAGCTTCAGGGGGACTATTGGCCCTAGGAACATTGCAACGCTGCTGTTCTACGAATCCGCGGGCGATGATGCACGCTGTCCAGGGGGCGCCAAGAGAATCGCCGCTCCCTGCCGTCCTGAAATACAAACTTCCGCGAACGAGAACCTCAGCTGCTTTTTTGCGCCCGCTGGTCGAGATGACCGATGACTTTGTCAGCGACACTGGGGAAGAGGTGCCCGAAGAACCCTATGCGCCAGGGCTGAAAAGAAAGGTACGAGTGATGGAGTATGATATTGACGATTTCTTCACATCGTGCGTCAAGCTCTACGCCGAATTGACAGGTACAGACCCTGAGACGTATCCGCTAGCTGGTACTCCTTAAAGAGGAGGAGGAGGAGGAGGAGGAGGAGGCGGAGGAGGATGAGGAGTAGGAGGAAGAGGAGGAGAAGGAAGAGGAGGAGGAGGAGGAGGAGGAGGGCGACAGTGGAGACGACGGGAGGCCGAGCGCGCGTACATCAAGTCCAACCGACCGCAGCGCGCCGTCCAGATGCACGTGGAGGCCAATCAGTACGAGAAGGCCTCGTGGCCGACCTCTTCCACCACATCCCCTCGTGCCAGGAGGAGGAAGGGGAGAAAGAAACCTCCCCTTGCCTCCCCTGCCTTACCTCCTTTCCCCTCCCCTCCCCCTCTTTTTGATGATCTTCAAGACGTGTGTTCGTTCAGTGTGTGTGTGCGTGTTTGTGTGTGTGTTTGTATTTGTGTTTGTGCTTGTGTTTGTGATTGTGTGTGTTTGCGCTTGTGCTTGTGCATGTGCCTGTGCCTGAATTTGTGTTTGTGTTTGTGGTTGTGCTTGTGTTTATGTTGTGTTGGTGTTCGTGTTTGTGTTTGTGCGTGTGTAGACTTGATACATCAATCCGCCTGAATGTTATTTCGTTCTTCTAGTTGTGAGTGGCGAGACAAGGGATTCTTCCACATCGTCGGAATCTCTGCGCAACGAAGGTATTCTGACTTTGGACCGCTTTCCCTTCTTCCCCCACCTAACGCTGCTCCTCCTCCTTCCCAGTCCTATTCTAGTTACTCTTCCGTCCGAGCTGCGCCAAGGCTCACAGGGTTGCGAAGAACCACCTGTCCCCGGCGGAGCGGACGGAACTCTATTCGAGCCTGGCGCAGATGCTAGAGCAGCAGAACAAGCTGACCGAGGCTGGGTTCGAACTCGAGGATTAAGACGACGATGAGAAGGGGGCGAGCAAGGAGGGGAATGAGGAAGAAGAGTACGAGGAGTGGCAGGATGAGGAGGAGGCGGAAGAGAAGGCGGAAGAGGAGGAGGAGGTGGATGTGGATGAGGATGGGGAGGATGAGTGAGAGAGGAATGAAGAGGGAGAAGGAGCAACGAGGGAGGAGGAGGAGCAGCAGGAGGAGGGAAGGAAGATTATGGGAAAGGAAGGAGGTATGGGATGGGCGGGAGGAGGAATTGGAGGACGAGGAGGACGACGAGGAGGAGGAATAGGGGAGGAGAAGAGACTGAGGATTGGATCGTGGGCTCCCTTCCGGGTTACGACGAGCTCTTGTTGTTCGACACGGCTTTGCCTCGAGCGCTCCCGCTCCGCTCTGCAGCCATAGCCAGAAGTCTTTGCCTCTCTTCTCCAGGGGCCGACAGCGGAGGCGGGGACACAGCCGCCGATCGTTCGAGTCTGCACGATCCACGTGGTCTAAGAAACAGCGCCAGGGGCCGTCATGGCACATAATTGCCGCACGTCTACACTCCTCGACCCCATCCCTCTGTTTCGGGAGCTCGCTGCCTTGCCTCTGCAAGCTGCTCTCCTCTTCTCTTTTCGATGATCCTGAGGGCGTCTTTTAGCTCAATATGTGTGCTTACACCTTTCAGCTCCGCCGTTAGCACGCAGCCCGTGTCGGCCCTCATTTCGTCTCCTGCGTCGTATCGAAGGGCTTCGGTAGCCAAGTACACGTTGGCGCAAGCCGCGGCATCGCTCGGACGTGTTTATTCTTAATCAGCGAGGCCAGAGGCATGACATCTGGACCATCTAGGAACATCTTGGATCATCAAGTGAAAAGACGCATGTCACCGACACGTGCACGGGGAATCGGCGTTCGAGCGATTGCAAGGAACACGTTCTGAGGACCATCGATCCTTGTCGATCCTCTCTGCGCTCGACCACAGGGCGCAGACACGACTCCATGAGTCGCGCCCGCGCGCCCGGGTCTCCCCCGCTTCCAGTGGCGGCGCGGCTCGAGAGGCCGGGGTGCCGGGGCGTGGTCTGCTGCGATCGATCGATGCTCGATCCTCCATCGATCGACTCTCGATCGATCGATCGATCCTCGATCCCCAATCGATGCTTCATCCTGGATCGAGGGGCGATGGGCAGGGCAGGGCCCGTGCCGCCCGCTCGGCCCGAGGCTGCGGCGCCCGAAAGGGATGGATTTGCGGGCGGGCGCTAGGCGTTGATCGGCTGCGCGTGAAGCCCAGATTTCTGGCGACCTGATTTGTTCAAGCTGGTTGTTTCCATGGACTTGGGCCTTCGGGAGCTGTCTTCGCGCCCTCGGCCGTTTTCGGGCCCCAGGGCCGCCGAGGACGGACGTCTGCCCCCGGGGAAGAGGTCGGGACCTCTGGGGCCACGGACAGTACATAAGAGTCAGATCGGCGGGTGTCTGGGAAGAGCGACCCTTCGCCAGAGTGGCCTTGTGCGCGACGTTCGGATGGCCCGTGCTCGTCCTGCTGCCTCCTGCCTAAGGGCCCTGGTCTCAGGGCCTTCCTTGAAGCTGGCCGGGGCACCGCCTAGGCTGCACATGCCCGCGACACTGCCCTTGATTGTCACTCATGGGAGGCTAATTCAGCATCGTCGCCAGGCCACCAGGCCCAGGCACGCAGGCCGCGGCTGTCAGGGGTCCGTCAGGGAGAGAGGAGGAGGGAGGAGGAGGAGGAGGAGGAGGAGGAGGAGGAGGACCAGTGTAAACCCAAGAGTAATCAACGATGTTGGAATTTGCCCTTCCTCCAGTCTCCCTCTTCATAGGCCCCTACAACGGTTCATTTCCACTGAGGTAGCTGCCTCGTTGGAAGGCAACCGTCTGAAGACCCTGAAGCATGCCAAACCATTGTTCTCGGAATTTCAGCGCCACGAATCAACCTGACCGTTGCGTCGTAATGATCCTGAATCGTGCCAGAACGCCATACTTCAACACTGCGAATCAATTCAACTGTTGCATCCTCATAATCCCGAATCCTTCCAAAACGCTTTTTCTGGCACGTTGGTCATGGGAAGATGTGGAAAATCTTTCACCACGTATAAACGAATGTGCGCGGCGCTAGGGCGAGAGCCACATTTTGGAAAGGAACAGCCCTGAATCCGTGAAACTCTTGGCACATGTTTAAAACAAATGTGCGCGGCGCTGAGGGGAGAACCACATTTTGAAAACCATCCGCCCTCAATCCGTGAAGCGCTTGCAAATGTTTGAAACGAATGTGCGCGGCGCGCAGGCGAGAGCCACATTTTGAAAACTACCCGCCCTCCATGTGTGAAACGGTTGTCAACGTTTAAGTTTCAGAGTCATAAATGGTGAGGAAGTCTCAGGCGCAACGTCTGGACCGCCCTGAAAAACTGGCCTCGCGGGGCGACAGGGACACTTTGTTTATGGAATCGCTTCGCTCATTCCGCCGGCCCGTATTGTGCCCTCGCTGGCGTTTGGGCTTTTGGGGGCCTTTTGGGTCCTCGTTGGGGGTTTCTTGGGGGCCTCTTGGGTTTCTGTTGGAGCCTCTTTGGGGTTTATTGGAGCTCCTTTGGAAGCATTTGGGAGCATCTTGGGGCTTCTGGGAGCCGCTTGGGAGCCGCTTGGGAGCTTCTTGGGGGCCTCGTGAGGGCCTTTTGGTGGCCTCTTGGGGCTTGAAAGGGGCCTCTCGGCGCCTCCTAGGAGCTTCTTAGGGCCGAGGGCTCGAAATGTTGTTTCGTGTTCCCCCTCTGGGGCTTCTCTTAGAGCGTTTTTGGGGCCCTCTTGGGCCGTCTTGGTGGCCTCTTGGGCCGTCTTGGAACCCTCTTGGGCCTTCTTGGGGCCCTGTCGGAGGCCTTTCGGGCCTCTTAGGGCGATCTTGGGGGCCTCTTGGGCCGTCTTGGGGCGTCGCGATGCCGAAAAGGTGGAGACGCCACAGTTTCCCCAAAACGTTAGGAAAAGCAATGAATTGTGCCTCTTGGGGCCCCTTTGGGAGTGCTCTTGAAAGCCTCGTGGGGCGTCTGGGGGCTATCTCGAGGGCCTTTTGGGGGCCTCCTGGGGCTTGAAAGGGGCCTCTTGGCGCCTCCTGGGGGCTTCTTAGGGCCGAGGGCTCGAAATGTTGTTTCGTGTTCCCCCTCTGTGGCTTCTCTTAGAGCGTTCTCGAGGCCCTCTTGGGCCGTCTTGGTGGCCTCTTGGGCCGTCTTGGAACCCTCTTGGGCCTTCTTGGGGCCCTGTCGGAGGCCTCTCGGTCCTCTTAGGGCGATCTTGGGGGCCTCTTGGGCCGTCTTGGGGCGTCGCGATGCCGAAAAGGTGGAGACGCCAAAGTCTCCCCAACACCTGAGGAAAAGCAATGAATTGTGCCTCTTGGGGCCCTCTTGGGAGTGCTCTTGAAAGCCTCGTGGGGCGACTGGGGGCTATCTCGAGAACCTTTTGGGGGCCTCCTGGGACTTGAAAAGGGTCTCTTGGCGCCTCCTGGGGGCTTCTTCTGGCCGCGGGCTCGAAATGTTGTTTCGTGTTCCCCCTTCTGGGGCTTCTCTCAGAGCGTTCTTGGGGTCCTCTTGGGCCGTCATGGAGGCCTCTTGGGCCGTCTTGGAACCCTCTTGGGGCCCTGTCGGAGGCCTCTCGGGCCTCTTAGGCCCTGTCGGAGGCCTGTGGAACCAACAAAATCTCCCAACAACCCAAGGAAAACCAATGAATTGTGCTTATTGGGGCCCTCTTGGGAGTCTCTTGGGGCTCCTTGGCGGCGTCTTGGGGACCCCCAGGGCCTCTTGGGGGGCTCTTGGAAGCCTCTTAGGGCGGAAGGGGGGGTAGTCGATTGCGGCTCCCCCCTCGGTGGCCACGATCCTCGTGAGGGGTGTCGAAAAATGGCCCTCCCCTGGAGTGCTCTGGTGGCTCCTCCCGGGACCTTGCCGGGGTATTTTCCGTCCGGGGACCCCCAGGGGCCGCCCCGCGCGCGCGAACTAGAAATATGGTGAACCAGTTACCGGAGATCTTAGCACGCCTCTGGCCCGTTGGGCCAGCGAACTTACAAGGAAAATAAATGGAGAAGGAGGAGGCGGAGGAGGAGGAGGAGGAAAAACATCAAGAAACACAAGACAGGGAAAGATGACGAATCCTTACTCATCCGTTGACCCATCCCACTTTCCACTGCCCGTCGTCTCCCTTTTTGCCTTTCCTGCCTGTCTACTTCCGTTCTTCCCTACCTGCCTCCCTCCCTCCCCTCTCCTTCTCTCCCTCCTTCCCCTTTCCCCGCCCGCGACCACGACGACGACGGCGGCGACGACGCCGACGACGACGTCGACGCCGGGATTGCGCCTGCCTGCCGTGACGGTGGATGAGGATATAGTTCATGAGGAGGGGGAGGATGAAGATGAGGTCTTCGGAGTTAACTAGAACCTATGCGCGCAGCGCGCGCGCGTGGTTATATGTATGTATGTGTATATATATATATATATATTATATATATATATATATATATATAATATAAACAAATAGGCCCCCCCCCCCCGGCGGGGCCGCCCACTCCGCAACCATCGGGGAACGCTTTTTAATACCCCCTCCCCGGGGCCTCCAAGGAGCCTCCAAGGAGCCTCCAGACGACCCAAGAGGCCTCCAAGACGGCCCCAGGAGGCCCCCAGGATGGTCCAAGAGGGCCCCGAGGCGGTCCCAGATCGCTCCAAGACGCCCAAGATGGTCCCAAGACGGCCCAAGGGGCCTCCAAGACGCCCCAAGAGGCCTCCAAGAGGCTCTCCAAGAGGGCCCCAAGAGGCTCGAATCGTTGATTTTCCATTGTGTTTTTCGATGTTTTTGGCTTTCTCTCCTTTTGGGCTCCCTGGCGCTCCAAGACGGCCAAGAGGCACCCAAGATCGCCCCAAGACGGCCCAAGAGGCCACCAAGACGGCCCCAAGACGGCCCAAGAGCGCCCCGGGACCGCTTAAGAGGCCTCGAAGACGGCCCAAGAGAGTCCCAACACGGCTCCA